AATGTCCATCTGAACAGGCGGACGATCCTCAATTTCATATCTCATCTGAAGTCAGCACCTCCAACAATGCAACACACCCCCAGCATTGAATTGGAGTGTCTGTCTAGAGTATATGAGGTCCCGATGTGGGGGTTGAATCCACAATCTTCTGACTCAGAGGCGAGAGTGCTACCAGCTGAGCCAGACTGACACTCAAATTTGCAATATTCGCAGCAGGTTTTGATGCACAATTGTGGCAGCGGTTTAATTTGCAACATTCATGAACTAATTGTGATTTCCAAAAAAGTGCAGAGTTAAATGTAATTAAACCACCCTGCATATATTGCAAGTTAAACGGAATTCACAACTGGTGCATCAAATCAAGGTTATGAATAGTCCCCTAGCAAATTAGGCCCCCAGTTGGGTTAGGAAACTGTTTTTGACCTGTTGTGCCAGTAAAACTGGTGTTAACTTTTTAGAGCATCACCCATAAATACCGGCTACAGACCATGGTAATAAATCAGATTTGAACCTGCAGTGGCAAACAACCATAGAGAGAATCTAGTAAACTCTGTAACTAACTAGTGACTGTGTGGCTTCACAGAGCAAACACAAAAGCAGGCAGCAATGGAATGGTACATTTACAACTGAGTTGTTCCCTCACTCATTGAAATCAATAGGGAGCACAGGTCTTTAGTATAAAGCCACTTTCTGGGTGTATTCCAAAGGAGTCAGAAAAAGCTTATTCACATGCTTATCAAAGACATTTGCTGTAAATCAAGGAGTACTTAGATCAACCACAAGCATTGCCATTCTACATCTAAAGTGTCATAAGTGAGCTCCAGTGAACTTCTCTCACTCATTGTCAACTAAAATGTATCAGGGTTGGATTAAGCCCTCTCTACCGCATCTAAACCCAGTATTTGGATTTAACAATATATTTAAAGAGGCAGCTCTTCAGAAATGGACCCTGTCAATGAGGGCACCCTTTTCCGTCACAAACAATGGACGGAAGAGCTATAAATTATTATAAGGAATTGGATGGCAATCTGAAGCACAAATGAAGCAGTGTTGCTCAAAAGCCATATTTGGTACAAAACAACCCAAGCTGCTCAAAATAGTACACTTAGAGTGGACTGCAGCTGCTGCTGAGCAACCTCCACATTGTCATACAGATTTGCTCATTGTGCTGCTGACACTATGATCACAGAGGAGGATTTAGATTTCCAGTCTGTGTAAAGATGAAAACAAAATCTTATAACAGAAGATTCAGAAATTATTCATGACTTTCGGTGTGTGTGATATTAAGTGCGCTTCTTGATTCAGGTTATCCAGAGGATTTGATTTAGTTTCTTTCCATTACTGAGGGCAGAACAATACTGGTTTAGCTTCAAATTTTCTTAGTGCAACTTTTGAGAAGATTGAAAGAAATGTTCATACTATCTTCTGAGTGTGGGCCTCCTACATAAGGCACTGAAGAAAATGTTTCCAGGGTAGATTTAACCAGCCAATGCTCAAGTTATTATTTATGACTGTAAGATGAATTGAGTTTCGTATTTATTTCTTCCTCTACTGTACTTTGAGCTGGTCTTGCTGTATATTTACCTGGCTGAAAAAACACCAAAAGCATGTCAACAATTGAACAACTTAGACCTAAGCAGGCTGAAATTCCAGCCAGTACTATGCGCAGTGACTGCCTTTAGCTGACATTGCCAAAGGCACTACATGTAGCTCAGACTGGAACTTAAGCCCAAAGTTGTGTGTACACAAGAAAATCACCATGGATATAGAGCAAAAGGCTCATTTTCATTTTGTTACTTGACTCCTTTCTCACAAGATTATAAATGGGAAGTACGGAAAAAATGACCCTTCTGGCTTTTAATTACCTTCTGCGTAAAGAAATACTTCCTGGTGTCTGTCCTTCAATTTCCTTTCGCAATCCTGAACCTGTGCCCTCTTGGCCTGCTGCCTTGGCTTATCTAAAGGGATTCTTCTGGGTTTACTTTCCACATCCCATTCAATATCTTATATGTCTCTGAAGAACCCCCTCTGAGTTATCCATTGTGATGATGGAAGAAACCTTGTTTTTCTGATCATTCCTCATCTCTCTAACCACGATGAGCTGTGATGGATAACTAGAAAACTAGGACTCACTGCTCTCTTCTACATTGCCTCTTGGGCCTTGGAAGCATTCCGGTGACCTGAACTATAATAATAATAATAATCCTTGCATTTGACATAGCGCTTTTCACGTCTTCTAGACTTCCCAAAGCGCTTCACAGAATATACTGTAAAGTGAATTGATTGTATATTTGTGGGCGAACTCGGCAGCCAATTGCGCACAGCAATGTCCCACAAACAGTCGTAGATTGAAAATGACCAATTTATTACTGTTTTGTTTTTTTGGAGGGATTATTATTAGGTGTGTGGAGTAAGGAAACTTGCCCAAGGTTTCGCTCTGTCTGGAATTGAACTCAGGTCTCTCGCTTGCAAAGCGAGTGCTCTAACCACTGAGCTACAGGACTCCACAACTATAATCGATATCCAAGTGCAGCCTAACCAGAGTACTGTAGACCTTGAAGATCACATATGGGGATCTGAATTCAACTGATTTGGTTATTGCTGCCTCACACTGTTTGGACACGTTGGGCAAAGAGTCAACGAAAATCCCTAAGATTCTTTCAACTTCCTTCTTGCAAACTTTATCCGGTAGCATGAAGTACACCTGCCTCCTCTTTTTACTTTTTAGTTGTATTTAGCTGCATGAAATTTAATTTGTTGGCTGCTTCCTTTGATTCCATTTTGGTGCCTCGCAAGCTTAACAACCTAGCAGTGAGCTGTGAATCTATATACTGATTATACTGGGAATAGAAGGGGTCCTAGTACAGTCCCAAGAGACATCCTACTCAAACTTAGTCATACAAGTCAAAGGCAACTCAAACTAAAGCTTGTCATCAAATAGAACCAAGAATGTTCACAGAGTACAATTTACCAATCGAGAAATTAACCAATGCACTATTTTTGCTTCAACTGTGGTATTCAGTTCACTTGAATTAAAATACTGTAACCATGGCTACAGATAAAGCTGAAAGACCAGCTCTCACAGTACACACCGCGAATGAGATCTGCAGTGAGATACTTTTTTTTGTTGTTGGAACTTCTTAGTTGAGCTATTTTCATTCAGGATGTAGGGATTCTGGATTCATTCGATTTATATTATTGTCCAACATGTGTGTCATGAATGAGGAATTAACTGTTAATTTGAAAAACTAGGCAGGTGATGGAAATTACAGGAAGAATTAAATTTAATGCCCTGTAGGATTTTCTTCATCCAAATCTCTCTTGTAATCTTGTGTCCTTCATACTTTTTAAATAACAGTGGAGACAATGGTTTCAATATCAGGATGGGCTTGTTAAGAATTTCAGGTTCAGATTGTATTTTGTTGTTCAGCTCCCAGTACAAATTTAAAATTTCTACTAGACAGCATAATCCAAGCCTACAATCTCATGAGTGGAACTACTAACCTGATGCTGTTGCCACACAGCTCCCCAGTAAGGAGTGTTCCACTTAACAGATAGGACAGAAAACAAGTAATCACTAAAATGCTAAGTGGCAAATCCCAAGAGCAATTTCCAGTAAATCCAACAAAAGAGATTCATTCTGACATTTTAAAAATACACAAACAAGCTATGCAATTATTGTGTTTGAGCTGTGGTGCACTGGCAGAACAGTGTGCTAATAAGCAGGCTTTCCACCTTTAGATTTCTCATTGTAAATAAATAAAAGTAGATGAAGGATATGAATAGCTCTTTGAAATGCCCTACCATGGTTTTAACCACCCCCATGTTTACTATACTGAAAGGCCTAATTTTGCAAAGAACCAGATCATTTGTTGCAGATTACTCCCACGTGTCTTCAGCGTAAAGCACATTAACATTCCATAGAAGTGGTTATGCCAATCCACTGCTCTGTACAAGACTAAGAACTTCACTGTAATTTCGTACAGGTTTCTAAGGAGACTGAACATTAGCAATTAGTTATTACTTTGCTATCCTGCTAGTTGCTGGCCCTGCATACAGAATCAAACACTGAATGGTCTTTTCTGGTTTCCACTTTCCCTTCTAAAAATACCATTACTGTCTTTGTACGAAATGTGTTCAGGACTGGGCAATAATGTGAATGGATCAGGATAATGTCTGAATATTGATTCATATCCAATTTGTAATTCTGATATTCAATTGTCCCAGAGCAAATAGTGCTCAACGGAATTTGGCAGGAAAACAGCACCATAGGTGGTACATCAGTGCCACAAAAAGCACCTAGAGCATTAAATGCATCCTCTCCATGGAAAACCATTTACATCACACTGCCTCCCAAGACCTGGACACTCAGCCAAGATCACTTCTGAACTGAGGTCTCTCAAGTCGGCATGACCTACATTAAGTTTCCTGGAGGAGATGAGTTTTACCTCCCTTTTCGAGGCACTATTTACCATTATTCCGTTCAACATGTTTTCAGCCCAATGTGTTTTTAGGTCCTCAAAAAACACTCCAGCAATAAGTAAAAAAAAATTAGTCAGGCTGAATGACGAACAGCTCTGTTCAGCTCTCCATCGCATTTTGTTTTCTGTACCTACCCTTTTTGAATTCAGCAGCTTGGAAACACTGCACCTATCAGCATGGTTAACAGATTAGTATCCATTCAGGTTAATGACAGTCACACTGGCACAGCTTCTGTTATCACCAGCAAAAAAAAAGTTTAATGGTAATTGGCTGAGAGTTTGGGAAATACAGTTGACATACTTTCCTTTTCGCCTTAAAACGAATGTGATATTTGCCTGTTCTGTACTGCCTTAAGATGCATGTGATGTTGCATTCGATTATAGTTACAATACTAGTTGGGTTGGGTTCACTAATGTAAAACTGAACTCAGCTGGCAAGCTATCCAGTTATTGAACCAGCTCATATTTTCTATCCAGACAAAAAAGAAAACTAACTTACCAGTTCAGTCACTTTCTTACCTAGATATTGCAAAGGGATGTCAATCTTCGGTCCAATCACATAGTGCCCTTCCTCCAAGCTGTGTGCAGTCACTGTAGTCCACTGCCTACATGAATGGATTAGAAGAAGGTCCTGTTCTGTCAATCCCTCTACATGCTCTCCTGGAATACAGACAAACATATTCAGGTGGATTTCCTGCAACAAATGTGCAGTGCACAAAAATATCTGCCTGATAGGATATGAATAAAAGCTAGATCTTTGCCTTTAAGTAAATAATCAGTTGCACAGTTAACAAGCCAGAATTGCACTCCATTCCAATGTCTTAAGAGGATGTTTGTGAGTTTTCTATTGACTCTTTTTACAGATCATTTAATTCATGATTGTTTATGGGTTACTGCTAGCTGGACAAGCAATGCTTGCAGGCACTGCTCTCAATGGCAAGCTATGCAGTTTTAGCAGGTTAACCTTCAGCAGCACCCAACATATTCTCTGGGGTCCTTAATCCTTGGCTCTCACCAACCTCCGCCTAATAATCCCCAGATTAAAACCTTCTTGATCACCTTCCCCCCTACCTCCTTTCGCTCAACTTCTCCACCCCCTCCCACAATTGGGATCCCAGTCAGTTGGGTGAAGTACTCTCAACAATTTTTTTCTGGTCAGACCGATGTCTGAAACACGTGGAATCCTATCACCACACTTAAGAGTGGGAATTCCCATGTCTGAAAATGGAATGAGCACTCTCTCCCTGGAGGTACACACCCTGTTTCCCTAATTTCAGAGCGTGTTCAGGGTAGTTTAAGGAGAAACAAGGTCTAGGGACTCTAGAGTGTGTGTTGGGGTACTGCTGAATTGTTGCTGTTGTCCAGGACAGTGGGAGAAACTCCCTTCTGCTTTTGAATAGTGTCATGAGACTTTATTGTCCATCTGAACAGTCAGACAGGACGTTGGTTTATCATCTCATCCGAAGGACAATGCAGTGCTCCACCAGCAAGAACTACATTGGAGTGTCAGCTTTAGACTATGAGTGCAAAGTATGTGGGTCTTTATCCCACACTTTCTGATCCAAAGGCTGCAGTGCGACCAAATGTGATAGGCTAACATCTTACCAAACTTACTAAATTCGGTGAACAATGCTTTGTTTATATCAGGAAATGTGTGACATGAATTGAACAAAGTATAAGGCCAATAAGATTTTATAGCGAAGTGGCAGATGGGACCACAACAATATTTTACATGCCCTGAGAAGCTGTATCTCTCTGAATCATACCAGTGTGCCCTGTTTTAGGTCATGAGGTAGCTCTAGTGCTCGAACAATGGTCATATTTTGGCATTGATCCAAAATGTGTGCTACAAAACACTAAAGCCTTTGTTTTAGAAATTTATTGTCTTACATCCACTACACAATCAGATTAAAATGTGATGAAAATAATTCAAATTAACATCTATTCTGCATCTCAAAAAACACAAACATTTACCAATCAGGGGTAAATTGACAGTGAGCTCATTTGATTTGTCATAAATCACTAAATTTTCACTGATCTTAACAGTGTGGTTTTAGGAACAGTAAAAAAAAGGTCCACAGTCAGCATGGCCTGACTCATTTCCACATGTACTAACCAGCATGAAGCCTTCATTACATTAACAGAGTCTCAACCTCGAGATGCTAGTCCCAAAGCTGGATATTTATCATGGTTTTAGTCTTAAGAAGATTTGGGGAGAAATTCTATCCAAGTCTAGACTTACCCTATTTATGCAGTATTTAGAGACTCCAAATTAAAATTAAATTATAAGAACTTTCAAAAATTCTGCTTGATCTTAAATTTTAAGACAATTGGAGAGAAATTCCATCTAGGTCTTGTTTACTCTATCTTCTTAACATTTCAGTGCATCCAGAATTTGGCAGTTTTTAAAATATATTTTTTGATTTTTTAGATCTTTTAAGATCTGCAGGAAAAAAATCGTTAAAAATTAAGGTTGAATTCAACAATTTGCCAAATTCAAATGCTACATAGAGAAATCTAGGCTCTGGTATAATTTCTCCCACAAATGTTCTTCAGACTAAGATAAATTCCCAGGCTCAAGATTGGCATCCCAAGGATGAGGCTCTCTCATGAGACACTGCCTTTCAAGGGCTATTAATCTAGTTCATGCAGACTTCTTCTTGGTTAGTGCATGTGGAAACTCATCAGGCTATGCAGATTATTAACCCTTCCCCCTCACCACCACTAAAAAATGCCTCTAAAATCTAGTTGTGGCTTCTAATCTAAGTTTGACATTGACCTGTTGCTGCCAGTGCACAAATGAGATTGTCTAAGAGACAGTGAGCAGAGCTTCAGCACTTACTGCATCACTACAGTAGTTAACTAAAATAGAGCAACGTAGAAAAAACATTCATGAAGTGCACACCGCCTTTCAAAGCATTTTTCTCTCTTTCTCTGTCATAAGCAAAATCTTGTTCCAAGTTGTTCCTCTACATTCTACTGAACTAAAGACTGCACAGATACCAAGTAGGGTTTGATGTTTTCTCAGATGCCATGATGTTCAATGTATTATCTCTGCCACCACCAACTTAAAGAAGAAGTGCTCTGTTGATGGGCACACGGTTGTGGACTTAGCTGCCAATAATGAATGTGGGCATACTCAGGCCCATTTGGGGCTTGTAGACCAGCAGCTCAATATTTAAAAATTCATGGTCAGGGACTAAAGAGCTGTAAAAAAAAATGTAGAACAGGGAAAATCCATCATATTTCTCAATATCTGAAGTACAGGCCCCATTTATATGGGTTTTATTTATCATTAGGACTTGGATTCATAGTCTAAGATGGCATTCCAGTGCATAGAATTACATTACATGGAATTAATTAACTGAATTAAAAGAGCATCAAAACAGGCCATTTAGCTCAGCTAGTCCATGCCAGTATTTATAATCTGCAATAGCTTCCACCCTCCATCACAAGATCAGTTTGGATGAAGAATGTCCTTCAGCCCATCTGATCTCATCCTTCCAGAATACCCACCCTGACATCCTCTTATCACAGCATCAATTTGTTTTCTAAACCGTTCCTGGCAACCTTATTATCTTCTAGGCAAAGAAAAACGATCCAGTGATTCACAAGGGTGATCCCAGAACTGAGAGGTTAACCTATCAGGAAAGGCTGAACATTCTTGGACTCTTTTTTCTTGAAAAGAGGAGGGTAAGGGGTGACCTGATAGAGGTCTTTAAAATGACAAAAGGTTTTCATAGGGTATACATAGGGAAGATGTTTCCACTTTAGGGGGAGACGAAAATCAGGGGCCATCAATATAAAATAGTTACAAATAGATCAAATAGGTAAGTTAGAAGAAATTTCTTCACACAGAGAGTAGTGGGAATGTGGAACTTGCTACCACAAGGAGTTGTTGAGGGAAATAGCATATATGTATTTGAGGGAAAACTAGATAAGTACATGAGGGAGAAAGGAATAGAAAGTTATGCTTGAAAGCTTAGTTGAGAAAAGGCAGGAGGAGACTCATGTGGAGCATAAACACCGGCATAGACTAGTTGGGCTGAATGGTTTGTTTCTGCACTGTAAATTCTATTCTATTCTAATGGTGTGTCCTGAAATTGTCCTTTGTAGCTCTAAACCTATGTCCTCTTCTTCTACTTTCTTATGCATCCTAGTGTATTATTCTTTGGTTTAATTTTTTAATCCCATTTACAATTTTATACACTTCTATGCGAACCCTCTGAGTCATCTTCTCTCAAGACTGACGAGCCCTAACTTGTCCAATTTGTTTCTCTTTGTTTCTCATACTTCACTCCTCTAACACTGGGGATTATTCTTGTTGCTCTCCCCTGCACTGTCTCTAGGTCTGAGTTGCTATCTTATGTTTCGGTTGCTAGAATTATATGCATTACTCTAGATGTGATCTGACCAGAGCTCCATACAGCCTAAATATGACATCTGGGATCTGTACTCAACTGATTTCGCAATATAGCCCAGTAGCCAGTTTACCTTATCTCCCTACCCTCATCTATTCCCTTCTCTCTCTTGTATTCACTGAGTGGAGTCCTGGGAGAGTGTTACACCATTGGATGCATTATTTTTTAGATGAGAAGTTAAGCCAAGGCATGATCTACCTGTGAAGCACTTTGAGACATACAACAACAACAAAATTGCATTTGTATAATGCCTTTCACGTCAGGAGGATATCCCAAGGTGCTGAAATAATAACAATACTCATATTTGCTAATGCACCTTTCACATCAGGATGTCTCAAAGTGCTTCACAGCATATAATGTCAATTATAGTGGCTACATTTTTTGGGGTGAATGCAGCAGCCAATTTGCCCATAGTAATATACTATAAACAGCTATGAAATGAATGACCAATGTTATCTGGGGATTCGTTGGTCAAAAGAGCAGAAACTCTCTTCTCTTTGTGAATCGTGCCATGGGATCTGCTTAATAATAAACAGGATACATCAAATATTATTAAATATAGAAATATAAAGTAAATGCACATTAGGAAGTGTCAGCCTCAGCAAAATTGCTCATACTCTCACAAATAATCAACTGCAGCATTACATAATTCGAAAAGAGAAGGGAGTTTCCCCCTCCAGGTTTCCTGGCCAATTATTCCCCAAATTAAATTGGTCACTCATTCCATGGTTGTTTGTGGGACATTAATGTGTGCAACTGTCTGCTGTGTTTTGCTTATAAAATACTCAGTCAAACCACTTTACAGTATATTCTGTGAAATGCTTTGAGATGTCTCAACGGCATGATAAGGTGCTATGTCAAATACTAGGATTATTATTATTATAAAACGAAAGTGGTTTCTATGAGCAGAACTGAGCATCAGTTTGATAATGATATTCTGCATGTAGGAAGACAGTGCACATTCCACTCCAAGCGCTTCTGTTTGCTTTGTGTTTGACACATGCTTCTGCATGTGTCAAACACAAACTAAAAATCATGCAGTTTACAGGTGTTCTCAGATTTTATCTCTGGTGAGAAGTTGAGAATCTTTTTGCATTAGAATTTAATCTTCCCTTTGGCTGGCATCCACTGAAGTATTCCTGTCTTGGAACTAATACCTTGGCATGCATTTGATTAAGCCACAACTGTCAGCCAGTGCCAATGCTTAGCCATTTCAATAGAATATGGCAATTCATTGGG